GACTCATGATGCGAACTCCTGCTTGGTGATCGTTCCCGACCCCTTCTCCCCCTCCCCTCCTCTCCTCTCCGCGCCATCTCCAAAGCCCCGCTATCATATAATATGTAGTTGTAGAGCGTGAGGCTCAGAGGCACACTTGGCTCATGATACCAACACCTGCGTGGTGATCGCTGCCGACCTCATCTCCCACCTCCTCTCCTCTCCTCTCCGCCCCATCCCCACCCCCTCATTATCATCCATCTACTCTTGTCTTTTCTCATCCAGTCAATCCTGTCCCTCCCTCTTTCCCCATTCCCCCGTCCATTTTTCCACACCTCCTCTTAGCCAATAACCCCGTCGTCGCCGTATCACCTGGCATGACGACAGCGCGGTCTGGGAGTTCAGTTTCGGCCTTCTATGCGCGTCACTGCCATACGCTGGATCTCGCCTGAAATGTCTTGACGATCATGATCCTACATGTTGGACTTCACATGAAGTGCTCGGCTCAAGGCGGGTGGTTTGCAAAAAAAAGAGCTCTCCCCGAATACAGGTGCAAGTTGCGTGGCCCCGTAGCTTGAAATGGATCGAATGTTGCAGCGCGATGCCCTTCAACCAAAAATAGCTATCGCTTCTCGCTTGCTGATTCGCCTGTGAAGACCATGAAGCTTGAATTGAACGGCCGCACCGATAGCAAGCGGCTCTTGGTCGGCACCGCGCCGTGGTCTGAGAGTTGCTCACATTGTATGACCAAGAAGCTGACAGCTCAGCTACTACTACACCAATGCGTGGATACCGGCTCCGTCGCTTCAGCACCGCGCGCATATGATGACACCTTCGACGTGATACATGGCAGGAAGGCGGCTCTCAGGACGACGCCAGCTATACACCTGCACCGGTCCTGGCCACGACCATCCTGTGCCCAGGATCGGCCTGGCCAGGATCGGTGAATGTATCCGGCGAATACCCTCCGGTTTAGTGCGCGGTTCACGCCATACGCGCCCGAGTACTCGTCCGACCTTTGAAGCAAATCAGCGGCGCCGAGGATCCACAGGCGCGAACAGCAGATGGAAGTGCGAATTGCGATCGAACAGTGTCGACGGCAGTGTACGCACCGTGCACACTGTCAATGCAGCGATGGGTGGTGTGAGGGAGGAGCTGCAAATCCAAACGAAACGTGCAGCGGCCAGAAAATCGAGGAGGCGGCTCAACTCTAAGCAAACTGAAGCGCGATCAGTCTGGTGCGTTGGAGCGGACCCCAAACTGGCAAGGCTCTCGCCTTGAAGGCCAGCCCGGAGCCCTCAAGTCTCCTGCGGGCACCCGCCACCGTGGAAGCCGCGCTCGCCTGCAGGGGAGGAGGCCGTGGACGGGAGGGCGCATTGCAGCATCAGTGCCCCGGGTTGGATTTACTCTGGTCCTCCACCCTCCTCCTCCTCCTCCTCCTCCTCCACCACCACCTCCTCCTCCTCCTCCTCCTCCTCCTCCTCCTCCTGACTATCGAATAGCAGTGGCCTTTGCCAGCCTGGACCCCAAGGGCCTCCGCAAGATTTACTGGGGACAAAAGTCGTCGCAACCTATTCGGCCTCCAAGAGACCCTCGAGCACCTGTGCCTCCTCCAGTGCCTGAGCACCCGCTACAAGAACACGTATGCGAGCTACTAGTAGGTGAAGGAGAACCCTGCAACAAAGTATTCGCCACTAGAGGTGCCCTAAGAGCCCATCAGTGCCATCGTCCTGAGCATCGTTGTCGAGTGCCCCTGAGTCAGCTGATCGTTACCAACCAGTGCTTCTATCATGCCTCCACGTTCTCCTCGGTTGTGCCTGCGAAGAGGCACGTGCAGGAGTCGCTGAAGCTCAGGCGGTGCCTTGCCGACTACAGCCCGTTCTCTCCTGCCGTGCAGAACCCCGCGAGGCTCTCCTGCGCCCCGTCTGCGTTGATCCTGACAGCGCCCGCCCAATACATATAGAGAACGACTATTCCGTAACTGGAGCCACGCAGGCTCAAGGAGAGTTCCTGACCCTTCGCGCATTGCAAGAACACATCGGAGTCGCACGCGCCCCACCGCCACCAGATCGTCTCTGCGATGTCGAACCTCGCGGAACGCGCCCTGAGCACTGGGACGGAGCAGCGGCAGCAGGAACCGCGCGGAGGGGCCGCCAGAGGAGCAGATCGCACCCGCAGCAACGAACGCGGCGGCCCGCGCCGAGGACACAGACAGCAGGCAGCGGCGCAGCCCCGACAGCAGCCCGCAGGACCCGCACAGCCCGCAGGGCACAGACTGGGACACCACAGACAACCACTACGGCCTGGCGCAGAGAGACGTCGACCAGCTCGACAGGATGCCGATCGACTGGATGCAGGTGCTCGTTCCCATCTTGGCGAGGGTCGCGCTTCGACACGAGAACGCAATCAACCACTTGGAGGCCGCCGCGTACCACCACGTACAGGTGCCCGCCAAGCACGACGTGATCATGGCCATGCAGGTGACGGCTAAGTTTTACGGTGCGGAGGCAGCGCGTCTTCGGAAGGACCACAAGGACGAGATCCGGGCGGGGCAGCCAGTGGCCGAGCTGGAACAGCTCGGGATCCCACACCCACATGTGTGGATGGCGCTGATAGGCGCACTGATCGGTCAGGGAGAACGGATTGGACAGGCCAACTTGCAGAAGATCAGCGCATACAAGGAGAAGGTCACCCACGAGAAACATACGAACGCGAACCTGGCGCACGAGATACGCCACTGCAGGATCTAGTCAACGTATCAGGGCGACAGGGTCAAGCTGCACCTTTCGGCAGACCCACCCGATCTCGAACAGGCCGTGGTAGATGCGCTGGTCCAGTTGGGAGGAGTTCACAAGTACGGGACCCCGCCTCGTTCCCACACCCCGAGGCTCCTGCAGGTTCATCTGGACGACATGACGAACTAACAATGGACAAGAGGGCCAGCGCAGCACGGGGACCACGCTGCGATGCCTCAGACTGGATAGCCAGTGGGAGGCCCAGTTTCGCTAGCAGCGTGGATCCCCGGCAGACAACCCTACTGTTACAGACTGTGGGCCCTTCTTCTCCGATTTCGCTGCCGACACCTATTCCCCAACACAGAACCCAGTGGCTATCCACATCGGGAACACAGAAGCCATCGGCGGTCCAGAGGCTATCTTCTTTGTCGTCAGTTTCGCCTCGACGATCGGGCGCACAGGACAGCAGAACTCCAAATTCCACTCTGCCCATCCAGAGTCTAACGACATCCAGCGAGTCCAGGGGACTTGAGGAGGCCAGCACCGTTCCGTCTCTTCGTGCTACCGCCAGCCCCAGCGTCCACCAGTCTCCCACTCCTTCGTCTGAGACTCCCCTCCCTCCCTCTTAGTCGCAGATTGGATCGTCTTGGGCTGAGACCGCGGAACCTCTAAACTGTTCCTGGCTCCTGGTCTCGGGCCTTTGAAACTTCCGTGGGCGATGTTGTCCCGCTGTATTGGTTTCGTTCGTCTCCTGTTCTGTGGGCCTGGCGCGTTTCAGGGCCTCAGGGAGATGCCGTCCAACCTTTGAGCGGACCTCCTGGCGGTTGCTGCTGCGGCTTGCCGTGTGCGGTGCTCTCCAGTTGCTCCCTTGCTTCGCTGGTCTCCTCGCTTGCCCTCCGTGCGTGCGCTTGCCCGCTTGGCTGGCTCCTCCCTCTTTCTTTCCCTCTGCCCGCTAGGTGGTTATTTAACTTAGTTTTGTGTGCCCATCCCCCTTGTAGCCCATCCCTACGGCCATCCCTGCCTTTAAAGCGTGGGAAACCAGCCGAGGTAGGGGGGTGGGTGGGAGCCCATGCTTCTCAACCACGCGTGGGAGGACAACAACAACTGTGTCGACCACGGCGAACGCCAGGAGGGAAGTCGGCGACGTCAAAGACGGTTCACCGCTTTTGTAAGTGGGCCGAGGCTTCGGACTGTGTCAGCACCCTCCTGAGGCGCTGCTTGCTTGCTTGCTCCTCCTCCTGGTTCTCCTCCTCCTCCTCCTCCTCCTCCTCCTCCTCCTCCGCCCCATTCCCAGCCCCATTTCCAGTATTCCTGCCGATTGCGCTTCAACTCCCGAGCAAGACAGCATGCGATGACGACGTACTTCGGCAAACGAAACATACGATACTGTGCCAACCCCTCCCTTTGCGAAGCGGCACCAGGCCGCGAAGGCGAACCTCAAGCGGCTTAGCTGTGTAGCCCTCGACGTGGCAATTTGGCAGGTGGCATCGGCAACCGATTTACCTAGGGCACCTGCTGGCCTTGTTCAACACTGCGGAATATGAGTACCCATCGGTCGGAAGAAGTAGGCAGAAGCATTGAGTAGGAAGGCGTTGAAAGTAGATTGGGTGTCCGCCCGCCCCCTGAAGAGGACGGAAAAGGTGAAGCCCCTCGATCATTGAAGTAGGAAGGCATGTGAAGTAGATTGGAATCTGGGAATCCAAAAAAAACTACTTTCAACGACCGATGGGTACGTCGTACGAACGCGTCTGTGTGCACATGCGCGACACCGTGGGCCCAGAGCGTGTGTGTTTGGCCATCCCGGGCCCACCTGCTCTCGGCCCAGCCCCTGCGTGCTCGAGGACGCGTCAAGACATGCCGGACTCGAGATCGGAGGACCACGACCCCTCGTGAGCACCACGGACACATGCCCCTACGCTGCCAGTGGGAGATCTCAAGGTGGCCCCCCTATGGGCCCAACTCCGCACGACAGCTGCACGGGCCCCAACGATAGCCCCGTCGGGCACGCGAAGCTGAAAAATCATAGAAACTGGCCCCGGTTGTTCAACCCTTTTTTTGTTCCCGCAACAGCTGGGGGAGCACACAAGCCAGTAGATCGGCCAAATGCTCGCCGAACGCTTGGCCACGTAGGCCTCGCCAAGAAGCTGGGGGGTGACGCTGTCTCGGCAGAGGCACCTTGGATAATGCTCGTGCGAGGCATATGTGTGAGAATATCGTTGGTGGTCGGCAGTCTTGAGGCTGGGTGAGACAAGATGACCTGCCAGAAGTGCTCCAGCGGATTTTTGCGTGGATTTCTGCCACTGTAAGACCCCGAAACGGCGAGCGAAAAACGAAGTGAAATTCACGTGGATTTGTTTTATCTGCATGCCTGGAAAAAACAAAAAACAAAAACAAAAACAAAAAAAAACGCGAATGTCACTTCGGAATCCGACCCGAAATTCTCCAGGACACACTGGGCCCATCCTATTGTTTTCAACGAGATCCGCTCTGCGATGCTGGCACCATGACAAGATGAAAGATGGCGAGGGACTGCGCATGACGAGGATGTGCGGGAGGTTGCAAGCTCAGCAGAGAACCGCTTTTGCCGCACGAGGACGAATCAAGAGCCAGAAGAGGCAGCAGTTGGGCACCGACTCGATGGCGACCACGCTGTCCCGCTGGCGGAACTGAACGCCGCCCTTCTTGCCGGCCTGGACAAGTCATGGCAAACTGGCAGATCGGCAGTAACCATGCGAAGGAGGAGGACAGTGAGTGGAGGACCAGGAGAGGACATGTTCCTTCTCGCCCCCCCCCTCCGCGCCCGCACTGCAGGCAGAGAGCCTCCGCACCAGCTGACCCTTCAGTCCGCATACTAGCGATGCAGGCAGTGAGCCTGGAAAGCACTCCGCCCCTAGCCATAGTTCACTTCTGTGCTGTAAATGCAAGCCACTTGAAACCCTCAACTTTCAGCTGGCTTTATTGCAACTGCGCACTCAATCTACAAGCCGGAGATGAAAGAGCTAAACCAATGAATCTAGAGTCGTTAAATGTGTTGAATCACTCCGTGGGCACAACTGGAAAGATTGAACGTGTTGATTTACCGAAAACTGCTTAAGTTTCATCAACAGAGCAAACCTATTGAAATACTTATGTCCTTGACCTTAAGTTATTATTGTATTTGGGCGCCCTCCCTGGCAGAGCCAGCGGTACGCCTAAGGGCGGGAAGCACAAGACGCTCAGGAGGGAGAGAGCATGGAGGAGGGAGCGGGGAAGATGACAGGAGCAAGCACAGGGAAACGAGGGAGGGAGGGAGGAGCAGAGACAGAGAGCAAGGAGCAGAGAGCTGGGAGGGAGGACGGAGCAGAGAAAGAGAGAGAGATAAGGAAAAAAAGGCCCAAAAACAAACGAAACAAAAACAACAAACCAAAAACAAAAACAACAAAACAAAAAAACAACAAAAAAAACAGGAGGAATGCCGCTGGCCACTGCCCGAGGTCACGGCGCACACCCAGCGCGCACCGCTGGGCACCGCGTTGCCGTCGCGAGATCGGCCGCGCGGCCGCCCCGAGCCTGCCCCGAGAGCTCGAGCGCTCGACTGCCCGAGCGCGAGGCTCGGCGAGAAGCCCGGGAGGCGACGACGTCGCCGCGGCGACCGGCGGGAACCAGGGGGGGCGAGAAGACACCGATGCCTGCCACTCCCTCGCCCTCCCTCGGGGCGCGCTCGAGCCAGGGCTTCGAGGTGAGCCCGGCCGTGGCGACGAGGGGCGCGCAGCGGTGCCGGCGTCGCGTCCCCTGCGGCAGCCTGCGTCACGGGAAGATGCACCAGCTTTGCAAACCCCGACCAGAGTCCCAGACCCGACCTTCTCGCGGCACTCTCGGAGCCAGATCGATCTGTGAGGGGCCTGGGCCCCTCCACCGGGCGAAGGCGCCCGGCGTGAAAGAACTGCAGCGCCAGGATCTCGGGGTGGGGTCTGACTGGCGGCGACGATGACGGCGACGACGGCGGCAGCGACCGCGGCGGCGGCGAGGGCGCGCGTCAGGCCTTCGCGGGAGCGGCCCTGGCGGGTCCCTCGCCGCTGGGCTCGCCAGCCGCGAGGCCGGCCAGCTGGGCGCGCACCTCATCCTGCAGCGAGCGGTAGGCTCGCTCGGAGGCCCGCCCTACCTCCTGCAGGGGGCGCACGGGCGGAGGGAGGGGAGTGCGAGGAGAAAGGTTCCTCTTCTTCTTCCTCCTCCTCGTCCTCCTCGTCCTCCTCGTCCTCCTCCTCATCATCCTCCTCTTCCTCCTCCTCCTCCTCCTCCTCTCGTCCTCCTCCTCCTCGTCCTCCTCCTCCTCCGCCTCCTCCTGCTCCTTCTCCTCTCCCTCCTCCCCTCCCTCCAACTCCTCCTCCTCCTTTTCTTCCTATTATTATTAGTATTACTGTTTTTAACATTATTATCATTATTATTGTTATTCGTATTCTTAGTGTTCTTCTTCATCATCATCAGCATCATCATCCCCCTCCTCCTCCTCCCTCTCCTCCTTTTCATTGTTATCATTAGCCTTATTTTCATTAGTATTAGCATTGGTATTATCATTCGGTATCTTATTACTAGTACTTTGAACATCAAGCTTACGATTGTTATTAGTAGTCGTACTAGTAATAGGAGTAACAGGATGCTTGGTCGTATTATTAGTAGATTATGACGTTTATGATTACAAGTATGTTGGTTATTCATCGTGTTGTTAATACCATGATTAGTACTGCTCTTGTGATTCGCATTGTCATTGTTCTTGATTGTGTTATTGATGATATCACTACCACTATTGCAACCAATCGTATCATTATTATTGTGCTTATTCGTCTTCGTCTAAATGTTCGTACCAGTGTTCTTATGTGATACGAACCGTGCTATTACTCTTCACTTTCGTCGTACTACTATCATGGGTGCTCTTATAACTGCTGGTATTAGCATAAGTTGTCGTAGTCCTCTTGGGAGCATTCGTATCGTTATTATTCGTCTCTTGAGTAAAATGTGTATTCCTATTAGTACTGATACGTCTGTTACTGCCGATGATATAAAACTACAGTATTGACATGATCACAACCATCCAACCTGCTAGTGATGCAAGTGCTATGAGTTAACGTTCGTGTATGTTAATACTGTTCTTATAGTTATGAATATGATTATCACTATTCAGACTTATCCTTATTCGTTTTCTTCTTAGTACTAGTATTGTGCTAGTGTTGTGTCTCCCCTTATTGATGGTAGACTTCCTGATCGTCCATTTCTCTTTACTAGTAGTATGCCTTGTTAATATTGCCGACGACAATTAGCATTACCATGGCTAATAATATTACTCGTACTACGAATCTAACTCGTTGTATTAGTAGTATTGTTAACACTAGTATTGCTAGTGTTAGTAATAACATGGTGTATACAAATAGTGCTATCATTATTAGTAGCATGACTCGTACTTTCATTGGAAGTGTCAGTATCACTGATATTCGGAATATGATGATTCGCACGCGTATGCTTATTACTCGTCCTGTTCGTATATTCGTAACAGTAGTGTTCTTCGTATTATTACTCTCATAAACATGTGCAAGCTTCGTCGTCGTCTTAGTATTACGCCTACCCTTCGGCATTATTATTGTGAGTATTCATGTTGTTAGTGTTGTTACTCTTCTTCTTCGCATTATTACTATGCTTATTATTCGTCTTAGTGTTATTAGATTGGGGCAAGTTGGGGCCGCAGATTCCCTGCCCCAACGCAGCGACCTGTCGCGCGGGAAGGAACGTCGCTAGAAATCGCGCGCAGGCAGCATGGGCCCAGAGGGAAAAGAAAGACGAGGGGCCGTCATGGGGAAGCGGAAGAAGAGCTGGGAATGAAGGGCGGGGGAGGGAGAAGGCAGACACGCGCCGCACTAAACCGCACTAAACAGTACTAAACGGCACTGAACAGGAGCTGGGATTCGCCAGGGTGCTAAAAAAGGCTCCCATGATTTGCCACCCAAGAACTGGCTGCCTTAGAGAGAGGAGTCCTCCCCTTGGGATGCCCGACGGCGGAAACATGGGAAACCTACGCGTTGAGGCGGAGATGGGCCGACGAAGCAATAACGCACGGGGGCGTGCCTGAGCTGTTTTAGAACGGCAGCAGGAGAGGAGTTGCTGCCTTTGGACATGCTTCGGCCCAGGCCAAGAGCGCAACGCAGGCGACCAGATGGCTCGTTGAACTCACGGATCCCAGCGGCAGCGCCTGCGGAAATGTGCCCATCGCCGCCGCGTCGTCGAGCTGCCATCAATCACGGGCCCCCGCTAAACAGCCAATCCGCGCGTTCCCATTCGGGGCATGCGCGCGCCTGACATTTTCGGGTATGGGGACGACCGCGGGCCACGAGGAATAGGTCCATGCCTCACCCACTGGGTGGCACCAGGTCGGGCAGACATGAGCCTCATCGTTGGGACGAGCTGCTGCAGCGGTTCCGCCCGCCCGAACCGGAGCGCCGTTCCGTCTGGCCCGCAGGTGGCGCGTCGGCGAAGGGCCTAAGGGCGCGAGAGCCAAGGAGAGTCCTTACGTACCGTGAGTCTTCGTTCATCGGCAGGAGGACTTGAGGGGCTCTCGTCGCACACGGCTGGATTCGATCCGCTTCGAACGCCCCTGCGTGGCCGCGCCGGACTTGGCCGAGCGCGGGGGTCGCCAAGGGGCCTCCGCCCGCGCCCGCGAAGCGCCCCTTCTCGCCCGAGGAGCGCCGCGACTGCGCCCACGTCGCCGCCGACCCCCCGCACGTCGGCGCCGGGCCGCTTGCGGCGCCGGTCCACCGTGCCGCGTGCCGTGCCGCGGGCCGTGCCGCGCGCCGCGCCCTGTCTCGTGCCGCGTCGCGCCGCCGGCGTCCGGGGCGGGGTGCCAAGCACCGGCGAAAGAAGGAGCCCCGGCGGGCTGGCAGGGCCCCGACGGGCGACTCGAGGCCCGCTGGCAGCGGGAAGGTCCCGCCCCCCGGGCCCCGGGCGTCGTCGGGTGGACCAAGAAGGGTCCTCATCTGCAGACCCTCTCCCCATCTCCTCCTCCCATCATTCCCCTCCCCTCCTCCTTCTCTCCTCCTCCCCGCCCTCCCCTCCTCCTTCTCTCCTCCCCTCCCCTCCTCCTCCTCCCCTCCCCTCCCTCCCCTCCTCCTCCCCTCCCCTCCTCCTTCTCTCCTCCGCCTCCCCTTCTCTCCTCCTCCCCTCCCTTCACATGAACGGCGCGCGTCCTGCAGCCCCTTCACCTGACCTCGCAGAGCATCACACTCGGCCTCGAGACGCGAGCATCTCTCCTTGAGGGACAGCACCTCAGGGGGGGAAGGACGAGGACGAGGAGCACGACAACGACGATGACGATCTCGATGTCGAAGATACCGCGTAAACATTTAACAACAGCGGAACAATCAAACAAGACAAAACAAACCAAACCAAAACAGCAACCACAACACAACAACAACCACCACAGTCACCACCACAACCACAACCACAACCACAACCAAAGCCACAACAACAACAACAATCGGGTTAAGACTGGCCGCTCGTATCCGCTAACGTGCCATTCAACACGTATATTCCCAAGCCCTCAATACCCGCCATCTTCGTCTTCGATCGTAACCCCCTTCGGGATAGATGATTCTTACCTGCAACGTGTATTTCGCGCAGCGGGGGGCTAGGAGCACAAAACACGTGGCAGAACCAAAGACGGGCAGATCGGGCGGGTAGACCCTAACAGGCTGGCCGGGAAGACGGGCCCAGGCGACCAGGTCGAGCAGGCGGGTTGCTGAAGCGTGCATCCTGCGTGACTCGCGAGGAAGCCTCGAGCGATAGCGCGATTCCCAAGTAAATCGCGAAACTGACCAACGCGAGAGGGTGATTCCTGAGTGCCGAGGGCGCGGCGCTTGAATAAAATAATACCGACGTCTCACGCGAGATCGCGATTTCTGCATATTCCTTGCAAGGAAGTCTCGCGCGAGAGTGCGATTTGGGATTAGATTGTGTAGAAAAATCAGACGGGAGCCGTTCTTGCAAACCAGGAGCCAAAGACACAATTCTGACCCAAGACCTTCCCTGATAGAAAACAGGGTGAGAGCCCCAGAAAGGGCACTTCAATTGAAAAACACTATGTGCCCCGGAGGGGGATCAACAATACTTCCTCTTCAGAACGCGAGTTCAACCACAACAACAACCACAACAACAACGACAACAATAACCACACAACAGGAAAAACAATCATAGTAAGACTGTTCGCTCGTATCTGCTCGCGGGCCATTCAACACATACATCCCAAACCTTCGATACACGCTCTATGTTCGATAGTACCCCGTTGGGTGTATAGATCATTCTTACCTGCAATACGTATTTCGCGCAGCCCCTACGGCAAGGAAGGAGAGGACGGGTGGAAGGAAAGGACACGGGGGAGGGAGGAGGATGGAGCACGAGAGAGACTAGCAGGAGGGGGGCTGGGAGCAGAAAACCCATGGCAGAACCAGACGGGCAAATCGGGCGGGTAGACCCTAACGGGCGGGTCGGGAAGGCGGGCCCAGGCGATCAGGTCGAGCAGGCGGGTTGCTCAGCGTGCATCCTGCGCGAATCGCGAAGAATTCTCGAGCGATAGCGCGATTCCAAAGTACGTCGTTAAGAAATCCACACCGAGAGCGTGATTCCTAATTGTCGAGGGCGCGGCGTTTGAATAAATGCTGAGGACGTCCCACGCGACAGCGCGAGTCCTGTATAAATTGTGATGACGTCCCGCGCGAGAGCGCGATTTGGAAATAATTGTGAGGAAATATCAAACGGAAACCGTTCGCATGAAGTTCGGGGCCCAGCACTATAGTTTGGTGGCCCCTCAGTTCACTTTATTGTATTTTTTCAAAAGATGAGGAGGCGAACATGTTAATTGGAAAACGCAATGGGTTATCAGAGGGTGAGGATCAACAACGCTTATTCAACATCATCATCAACGAGAACAACGACAACAACCACAACAACAACAGCAAAAACAAAAAAAACAATCGGGTCAGGCGAAGGGGGGGGATAGCAAAGGGGGGGTGAGAATCAGCTCACGCAGCCGATTTTCCCGGCGCCTCCCGGCGCCGGAGGCGGCAATGTATCGAGGAATGGCACCCTCGGTGAAGCCGAAACCAACTGCATGCAGCAGATTTCGTAAACCCCCCTTTCCCTATCCCCCACTTTCGTCCGGCCCGAAACAATAACAACAACAGCAGCAACAACAACGACAACAACAACAGGAACAACAATCAGCATTGTTCGCTCGTATACGACATTGGGTCATTCAACACATCCATCCCAAACCTTCGGTACCCGCCCTTTTCGTCTTCGATCGTACCCCTTTAGGAGTATAGATCCTTCTTACCTGCAACGTGTATTTCGCGCAGCCCCTACGGCAAGGGAACAGAGGACGGACGAAAGGAAAGGGACAAGGGGTAGGAGGAGGATGGCGCACGAGAGAGAATCGCAGGAGGTAGGTGCAGAAAGCACGTGGCACAATCAGACGGGCACATCGGGCGGGTGTACCCTGACAGGCGGGCCGGGAAGGCGGGCCCAGGCGGCCAAATCGAGAACACGGGTTGCTGAAGCGTGCATCCGACATGAATCGCGAGGAAGTCTCGAGCGATGGCGCGATTCCCAAATAAGTCGTTCGGAAATCCACAGCGAAAGCGTGGTTCTTGAGTGTCGAAAGCGCGGCGTCTGATGAAGTTGCAAAGAATTCCAAAGCGAGAGCGCGATTCTTTAAATTGTGAAGACGTCCCACGCGAGAGCGCGATTTGGGAATAAATTTCGACGAAGGATCAGGCGGGGGCCGCTGTTGTTGCAAACGAAGGACCAACAACCCAATTCTGATATTCAAAAAACCTTCCATGCGAATTACTCCGACGGTGGGACCTCGCATGAGAATGCATGTGTACTGCCCCTCGCCATTTTCTTTTTTAACTGGCGGAGGCCTTCCTTCCAACCTCTTTGCGTCCCCCCCCCTCTCCTCCTCCTCCTCCCTTTCCTCCCCCTCCTCTTTTTCCTCGTCCTCCTCTTCTTGTTCCTTGTCGTCCTACTCGCTGCATGTCTTATCATGTTGTGTTTATGTTTCCTCTTCTTTTTCGTCGTCCTTTCCGTCATTTTCGTCCTCCTCCTCCTCCTCCTCCTCCTCCTCTTCCTCCTCTTCCTCCTTTTCCTCCTGCTCCGCCTCCTCCTCTTCCTCCCTGCCCTCCTCATGTTCCCCCTCCTCCTCGTCCTTTTCCGCCTTTTCGTCTTCACCCTTCTGCACCTCCTCCTCTTTCTCACCCTCCTCATCGCCAGCCCGCTCGTTCTACTCGTGCACATATCCTCCCTCCTGGCATGAGCGCGCATGCTGATTTTCGCCGGCGCCGTCGCCGCCACGGCCAACGGGCGCATTCCCTAATGGCCACATCGCGCAGCCGTTGAAACAACCCCGCGAGCCAGGCCGCCTGAGCAACCCCGCGAACAGCTGGCGCGCGAGACCAAGCCGTTGGGACAACCCCGCGGACTTCGAGCGGGGCGCGACCGCGCTCACGCGGGAGGCAGCACAAAGCCCAGCTCTGCCGCGAGCTGCTTCCCCTCTGCCCTGGAGCTCTCGGTTCTTTTGTCGAACTCCAGGGGCGCGTTCCGTCAGGACGCCGCCGGCCATCGCTCCAGGAAATCTCGCGGCGGCGGCCGCAGGATCAGCAGGTTCCGCAAGCACGTGGCGCGGGCCCTATAGGGAGGGGGGTCCCGCCTGAGACCCCCTAGCAATTCACTCACTGACGAGGCTCCCGCTTGAGATTTCCTCCACACTCAAATTACAAAAAGCCAATAGCGACGACAGTTACAGGGTTCCGATGGCCAGCTCGGATTCGTAACATGAACTGCGGGCCCATGGGGAGGGGGGTCCCGCCTGAGACTTCGTCGCAGTTCACTCACAGACGCGGCTCCCGCCTGAGGCTTCCCGAAGATTCCGGCCTGAGTACGCCAAAAATCATGAGCTGCGGGCCCCGTAGCGAAGGGATTCCCGCCTGAGAATTCCTCGCGATCCACTCACAGACGAGGTTCCCACCTCATAATTCCCCCATGTTCAAGCCTCCAGGGCCCAAAACTGACGACAGCTACAAGGTTCCGATGACCCGCCCTGATTAATAATATGTGCTGCGGGCCCCATAAAGATGGAGCTCCCGCCTGACACTTCCTAGCAAGTCACTCACAGACGGGGTTCCTGCTCGAGACTTCCTTCATATTTCAAATTGGAATGGCCAAAAGTGACGACATTTACAGGGTTCCGATGACCCGCTCGGATTAGTAACATGTGTTGCGAGCCCCATAAGGAGGGAGCTCCCGCCTGAGACATCCTCACACTTCACTCACAGCCAAAGCTCCCGCTCGAGATTCCCTCCATCTTCTCTACGTGAGGAAGCCAAAAGTGACGAGAATTACGAGGTTCCGATGACCCGCTCGGATTCGTAACATGATCGGCAAGCACCATTGGGAGGGGGGTCATGCCTGAGTCTTCCCCGCAATTCAGTCAGCGGTTGTAATGAGAAAGTGAATGAGCCACTCAAAAGAAGTGAACGAGCGTGTGGGACAATGAGTGGGCAAGTCATGGATGAATGGGAGTGATCGGAAGAATGTGAATGAATGTGTAAGTAACGATGATGCGGTGGCGATGATGATGTGCATGCGCGACTGCGTGAATGAGTGGGGGGAAGAAAAGCAGGAGAAGATCCTGCGCGGGGGCGAACAGAGAAAACAAAAAACAAACTCGTAGGATGTGGGAGAAACAAGGTGCCAGCCCCAGGAAGGGCACTGCAACTGAAAAACACAATGCGCCCCAGAGGGGGGGAGGGAATAGGAACAATTATTCTTCAAATCTGAAAATCAAAGCACGACAACAACCAGGAAAAAAATACAACCATAAACTATCTTGGCGAAGCACCCAACCATACGCAGTTGTGAAAGACACAATGGTGGATATCACATTGATCACCCGCGCCCCTACGGGGCCACGAATCGCACGAGGGGGCGCCGAAATATGCCGCGGGGCAAAAGACGCGAGATAAATCGAAAGGCACGCGTGCGAGAGACTGGGGGCAGGTGAGTCTGAGCGCGACTGAATCCGATTGTATATGAGTCTGCGCGCGCGAGATTACGCGCACAAATGTCGACGCCGATGTCCGCGCGCCCCCCGCCAGGATCGCGCCCGGTTCCTCCCCGTTCTGTTTCTCCCCCATTGTCCGCGTACACCAATTTCCAAGGCGCGGGCGCGGCGCCGCGCGGAGTCCCCGCGACGCGGGGTCCCCGCGAC